TTCCCATAATTATTGGGTCGTTTTGTTTCTGTCAGTCATTTTCACATAAGTGTATAACAATGGGCTGTTGAGCCCTATTCAAGTTCTGTCAAAACGTGCCTGGATGGGTTGATTTAAAAAAAAATCTCGGACTGTATTGTTATAGGGGAGAGGTGATGGCCTAGTGGTATTATCGCTGGACTGTCAATCCAGAGACCCAGATAATGTTCTGGGGACTCGAGTTCAAATCCCGCTACAGCAGATGGTGGAATTTGAATTCAATAAATATCTGGAATTAAGAGTCTAATGATGACCATGAATCCATTGCCGAATGTTGCAAAAACCTGTCTGGTTCACTAATGTCCTTTAGGGAAGGAAACAGCCATCCTTACCTACATGTGCCTACATGTGACTCCAGGCCCACAGCAATGTGGTTGACTCTTAACTGCCCTTTGGGCAATCAGGGATGGACAATAAATGCTGGCCTAGCCAGGGACCTCATCCTGTGAATGAATTTAAAAAAAAAAGATAAACTTGAGAAGCTGGTCTCCTTCAATAGGAACGTTGATCAATGCTGAGTTAGCTAGTTTAGAAAGGTCCCTTGTGTTTGTGCTGATTTGAGCCCATCTCCTCCAAGGGTGAATGTGAGTTGGATATTGATTTTGGGAGGTATTATTGGTTGTTGATTAACCCCCAGCTAAGAAATAGAACAATACAGCTCAGGAAGAGGACATTTGGTCCATGTCTGTGCTGACCATATTGTCATTCTAAACTAATTCCATCTCCCTGCCCATGGTCTGTATCCTCCTATCTCCTGTCTATTCATGTCTGTCTGAATGCCTGTTAAACGTTGCTAACATATATCTGCTTCTACTACCATCCCAGGCACTACCACCCTCTGTATTTTAAAAAAAACTTTCCTCACACATCTCCTTTTAAACGTTTTCCCCCCTCACCTTAAACCTCTGGCCCTGCTTTTTAACATTTCCACCCCGGGTAAATAACTCTGACTTATCGACCTTGTCCATACCTGTCATAAGTGTATAAAATTATACAGAGTCGCCCCTCAGCCTCCAACACTAGTGAAAACAGTCCAAGTTTGTTCAACTCTCGTTATAGCTAATACACTCCAATCCAGGCAACATCCTGGTAAACCTCTTCTGCAACCTTTATCTACTTGTGTTGCCACTTTCAGGGAGCTATGGACCTGGACCTCATGATCCCTCTGTATATCACTGTTCCTAAGGGTCCTGACATTTACTGTATACTGTCCTGTTGCATTTGACCTCCCAAATGCATCAGCTCACACTTATCCGGATTAAACTCTCTGTGCCAATTGTCTGCTCAACTTTCCACCTGATCTATATCCTGCTGTATCCTTTAATCATATTCCCCATCTACAACTACCAATTTTTGTGTCATTTGCAAACTTGCTAACGAGACCACCAAAGTTTTCATCCAAATCATTTATAAATACTACAAGCAAGAGGTCCCAGCACTGATCGTTGCGGAATACCATTGGTCGTAGACCACCAGTCAGAAAAATACCCCTCCACAAGTACCCTCTGTTTTCTGTGGCTGAGCCAATTTGGTATCCGACTTGCCAACTCACCATTGGATCCCATTTGACTTTAACTTCTGGGCCAGCCTACCATGAGGGACCTTGTCAAATGCTTTAGTAAAGTCCATTTAGACAACATCCACTGCTTTACCCTCATCAATCACCTTTGTCACTTCCTCAAAATGCGCAATCAAAATTTATGAGACAAAATGACACCATGGCTCAGTAGTTAGCACAGCTTTCTCAGAACGCCAGGGACATGGGTTCGATTCCAGCCTCAGGTCACTGTCTGTGTGGAGTTTGCACGTTCTCCCCGTGTCTGCGTCTGGGTGCTCCAGTTTCCTCCCACAGTCCAATGCTGTCCAGATTATGCAATTTGGCTATGTTAAATTGCCCATGGTGTGCAGGCTGGGTGGATTAACCATGGGAAATGAAGGGTTACATGGATAGGATTGGGGGGTGGGGATGCTCTTTGGAGGGTCAGTGATGGAATCTATGGACTGAATGGCCTGCCTCCACACTATAGGGATCCTACGATTCTAAGATCTCCTCTGCATAAAGCCATGCCGACTATTCTCAATAAGTCCATTCTTCTACGAATGCAAGTAAATCCTGTCCCTAAGAATCTTCTCCAATAATTTCCCACCACTGATGTAAGGCTGCCCGACCGAAACCTTCCTGGATTATCTCTGCTCTTCTTAAACAAAGCAACAACATTGGCTATTCTCCAGTCTTCTGGGAGCTCGTCTGTGGCTAAGAGGATACAGAGATCTCTGTCAAGGCCCCAGCAATGCCTTCCCTTGCCGCCTTCAGCATCCCTGAATAGATTCCATCAGGCCCTTGGGACCTATCTACCTAAATCTTTTTCAAGAGACCACCACCACCTTAATATCAATATACCCCAGAATATCAACATACTCCTCCCTAATCTTACCATCATTCTTGTGCTTCACCTTGATGAATACCAACATAACATACTCACTAAGGACCTCACCCACTTCCTGTGGCTCCATACATAAATTCCCTCCTTTTATCCTTGAGTGGACCTAGCCTTACCCTTCTTGCTCCTAATATATTTAAAATGCCTTGGGATTCTTCTTAATCCTACTTGCCAAGGACATTACATGGCCCCTTCTAGAGCTCCTAATTTCTTGTTTAAGTTCTTTTCTGCTTCCTTTATACTCAAGGGCCTTGTTTGATTTCACTTTCCCAAACTTTACATATGCTTCCTTTTTCTTTTTGACTAACCTTTTCAGTATCTCTTGTCATCCAAGGTTGCCAAATTTTGCTATCCTTTTCTTTCATCCTCACACATACATTGTGGTCCTAAACTATGATAAATTGGCCTTAAAAAGACTTGCATGTGCCAGATGTGTATTTACTCTCAAAAAGCCACCCTAAGCTAATTCTCCAATTCCTGCCTAATACTGTTGTAATTAGCCTTCCCCCAATTTAGCACTTTCACTGGAGAACCTTATCCATAACTATCTTAAAACTTATGGAGTTATGATCACTGTTCCCAAAATGCTCCCCACCTCCCCACCCAATCAATTGATCACCTGACCAGGCCCATTGCCCAATATAAAATCTAGTATGGCTCCTTCCTTAGTTGGACTATTTACGTACTCTTTCAAGAAATCCTTCTGGATGCACGGAACAAATTCTGCTCTATCCAAGCCCCGGCACTAGGGGAGTCCCAGTCAATATTGGGGAAGTTGAAGTAACACACCACCACAACCCTGTTATTTTTGTATCTCTCCATGGTCTGCTAACATATCTGTTCCTCTATCTCCCTCTGGCTTTGGGGTGCCAATAGTATAACCCCATCACAGTGATTGCATCTTTCTTATTCCTGAGTTCTATCCATAGGGTCTCGCTGAATGAGCCCTCCAGATATCTCCTGTTAGTACAGATGTAACATTTTCCTTTATTATTAACGCAACTCCTCCATCCCTTTATATCACTCTTTCTCTCACCTGAAGTAAATGCACAAGTGGATATCGAGTGCAAAATAGCCTTATGCCTGTGGTGCTTCCTAACTGTTAGCCTAGTAATTTTTGCTGTCAAACATGAAAAATGTGTCTTGCATCAGTTTGTGTTTTCCTTCATGTTAAAGCAAGCCTCAACTTGGTATTCCCTTTGAATAGCTTGAGGTTGAGATTCCCTTTTCCTATCCTACATCCAGGTGGTCAAGCACAGGAAACTGCCACTAGTTGGGGAAACTCGTTTATGCTGGTCATACTCTGGGGAAAGGGCTTCACAACTGACAAAAGCAAATTGGTCAGTCAGTTCTGAGTAAATTTAAACTCTTTCCACCAGTGAAATGAGATTATGAAGCCCAGTGTGCCTTCTAGTTCCTACATTTCAACTCTTTTGTTATTATTGAAGTGTCATGGACCAGACCAAACTCCCTCAAAATATTCAGAAGATAGTCTCGACCCTAACCTTTTTCAAGTTTTCACGTTGCATTCCATATGCAATTCGATTAGTCAGACGACAGGATTTAAAGCAAAACACACTTTACTTATCCACTATAGTTAAAATATGACAAAAGAAAGAAGGAATTGGAAAAACCTAACTCTATTGGAAAACTTAATGGAAGAATAGATACAGTAAGTACTATATTGGAACAGTTAATTAGTAGTAACATCCCCTAAACACACTCTTGAGGGAAAAATGCAAATTCAGAAAATAGATTGTCTTGCATGCAACTTCTGTAGCAGGCAGAGAACCCCCAGCTTTTGGCAGTAACCAAGAGAAGGAAAAAATACCTTCCACTTCTTCAAGACCCAACAGCAACTACAGAAAACTAAAACTCAAAATCCTGGTTCTGTGGGCGCTTGACCACACCCATTCAGGCTGCTGCTATTGTTCCAACTTTTTTAAAAAAAAAGCCCAAGGCCTCAAGAGCCATTTACTCTCGTGGTTCTGATAAACTGCTCGTCGCCTCTGCCTTAAAACCTCTCCTCCATAGAAAACCAGAGTGAAATACAACTCTTGAAGCCATACATCGTTACAGTGTCAATCATCAGAAATCTTGCCTGTGAGCCACAAGGTGTTGCTTTCAAATTGCACTTCATGGTCGAACGCAAAAGTCAAAGGCTGATACATCAGTGTAACACTGCTGTATTGCCAGAGGTGCTGTCTTTCTGATGAGATGTTAAATCGAAGCCCCATCTTGAGTGAATGTAAAAGATCCTATGGCGCAGTTTTGAAAATGTAGAGTTATTGTCTGTCCCAGCCAATATTTATATCTCGATTAACATCACAAAAGAACAGATTACCTGTTCACCACCTCACTGTCTCTGGATGCAGATAGCTTGCCATGGTTAATACATTACAACAGTGAATACACTTCAAAGGTTGTCACTACAAAGGTTGAAGTGCCTTTGAGATGCATAATTGTAGTTTAAAGGTACAGTGTAAATACAAGCCTTTTCCTTCTCTCTTTTAATTACAGGGTTATCAGAAGAAGAACAAAATGTTGCCGCTGTGCCAAGTGATGCACAGCCAGGTCATCAGTTGGAACAGCACAGGTGCAAGACTGAATCCGTAAACATTCCTAAATCTGGGAATTGCCTAGATTTTTCGAGAATGACAAGCCCAAAATCAGGAAGTGCCAGTGGCACCAAACAGGACGTCAGAGACTGCAGCTCTGAACCAAAGAGATCTCACAAAACATCTCTCGATGGAAGAATCACTGGGAAACAAATTGACAGAGAGAGATCCTCTGTGTGCAGCACACCAAGTGCAATGACCAATGGCTTACAGTCACCATCGTCTGAGGCTCTGGGACAGCCCCCCAGTCAAGAAGTCAAGTGTGTAATTCCCCAAAATATTAAGCATAAGTTTAGAACCGATATTGTGGATGAGCTGCTAACGGATGACGAGGTTAGTGTGGGAAGAGCACTTGTGCAGCTGGTTTCAGCACCTAGCTTGCTGTACAATGGTGGTGGTAGTTTCGCAGTAATGAAACTGGATATTTCAGTCATGACTTGGTCGGTAGCACCCTCATCTCAGCACCACTAGGTGGAGACACTAAGTTGCACTCCAAAGATGCGAACATATAATCAAAGTAGGCCACCCTTGTTTAGTACTGAGGGAGTGCTACACTGTTGGAAAAACCAACTTTCAGCTCAGACTTTAAACTGAGGTCCTATCTAATGTCTTAGGATCTTAGAAGAGTATCTGATCTAATACACTATTCAAAGAAGAGTTAGGAGGGTTGTGCCTAACACTTTGGAGAGATTTTATCTCCCCTTCAACATATTATCTTGTAATGATCATACAGTTGCTGTGCATATATGTTATATATATATACACACACAATATATATAAAATATCATGTGTGTGTGTATATATAAGTTTTTGATCTTTCTACTACCAGACCTTAACCTACACTGTTGGAAAAACCCATCTGGTTCACTAATGTACTTTAGGGAGGGAAAATGCCACCCTTACCTGGTCTGGCCTACGTGTGACTCCAGACTGCTCTCTGGGCAATTAGGGATGGGCAATAAATGCTGCCTGGCCAGCGATGCCCTCATCTCGTGAATGAATTAAAAAAAAAACCATGAGCCTAGACTGTATGATTGGGACTTCAGTAAGTTGCATTGTTGGAAGTCCAGACCTGAGGTTAGCTGGTGTTGCTGGATGCCTATCTCATTCAGGAGAATGTAGATTGGCTGTGTTGCCATCCATGAAGAAACCATCTCTGATACTCAGTGTGTTGATGTGAATATTGGTTATTTTGTGTGAAATACTTGAAGTAGCCACTCAGTACTTGTGTCAGTCTATCCTGCTGGCAAGAGGAAATTGAAACTGGGAGAAGTGATACATGATTTATCTGTTCATTCAGCCACCCTGTTAAGTTTCTTGTTTCTGTGAAGGTTAAGGAGTTCTTGAATAAGAAAGAGATGCCAGCAAAGAGCTTGGATTCAGAGGTTCCCTTGGTACAGTCACAGGAGCAACCCACTGATGAAATAACTTGGTATGAAAAAATAGGCTACCCTCTCCGATGCAACATCTTTCCAGGTACTGCCAATTCATTCCACAAGTCTACACAAAGTATTCACTTTAGTATTGCTGAAGCATTCTTTTAGCAAGCCTGTTCTTACATAAAGTATTTCATTAAACTGTACAGCATTTTGGGGATTGGTGAGGCTGCAAAAGGTGCTATTTTAATGCATGTCTCTTCTTTGTAACTTTAAACTCAAGTTGCACATTAAAAGCTGATTTTATAAGTAACTTTAAAAGGGTGTTGGATGGGTACTTGAGGACAAAGGGCTTTATAGAGTTATAGACAGTAAATTTGTGTTGCTGGATTAAACACAACTGCTTTCCTTTTTCTTTGGAGATCCAACACAGGCATTGCTGGCAGAATGGCCCCCTTCTGTGCTGTTTGAAAACAAGGACATTTTATAGCTGTGATCCCTGGTCTGTTTTAGATCTTAGCCAGAGTAAGAATAGGGCTATCCTACATTAGGAGGAACTGCAGTGACATTGACTGGAATGGATAATGGGGAAATTATTTAGTTGAAATTGTTTCAGCTCTTTGGCGCTGTAATATTCGGAATCTCATCATCTAGCCCAACTGGGCGATCTGTCCTCAATGCCAATCCCCTCCTGGCCCTATCTAACTCCGTCAGAAGACAGATTTGTCAGACTGTTCAATGGAAAACCACCAAAACTATTTGCAAACTTGACTCTGAATCAGCCAACTTGTAATTGCAAATCCTTGACGGTTGTTGAACCCATTCAGTTTGTGAATGCGGATGCCTTTGCTTTTCCTGTGATTGCACTTCTAGAGTAAGACTTCATGTTTGGTAACTACATGTGGCTTTGATTGAAGCAAGTTGATCAAAGATCATTCCCTGTATTTCCATCTTAAAAAGAGATTGTTCTGGGGAGGAAGAGAGGGAAATGGCGATTATGAAACGTTGAAGACAGCAGAGCGAAACAACTGGTTCTGAAAGGAAACACCCGAGGAAGAGAGTACCGTTGGAATAGCAGGGAGATGTCAATGTAGTGATAATGTCACTGGACTAGTAATGCAGATCCTTATACTAATGCCCTTGGGATATGGTTTCCAATCACATGATAGTAATTGGATGTTGTGCTTCAATTATACAGGATATAATGAGACCATATACCGAATAGTGCGTATAGTTTCGGTCTCTTAAGTGTGTAAATATGGTCAGAGGAGGTTGACTAGATTCATGTTTTAGAATGAGAGGGCTGTCTTATGAGGATAGGTTGGACAGGCTGAGCTTGTTTCCACTGGTGTTTAGAGTGAGGGATGACTTTATTAAAGTGTAAAGGAACCTGTGAGTGGTCTTGACAAGGTGAACGTGGGAAGGATGTTTCCTCTGGGTCAGTCCAGAACTAGAAGAATTGGGGTTAGAGATGAGAGCTTTTTTCCAGAAGATTTGTACAACTTTGGAACTGTCTGCCTTGGAAGGAAGTGGAGGCATGGTTGCAAAATGTTTTTAGGACAGAAGTGGATAGATTCTTGTTGGGCCAAGGGAATTGAGGGTTATCGGGGGGCAGATGAGAATATGGAATTCAGTATGCAAATAGATCGGACATATTTTTGGAGGAGTAGGCTCGAGGGGATGAATGTGAACACTTCTTGGTGTCATTTCTCCATAGCGGGATTTCCTCTTCTCTGTGCTGAGTCTGCCCGTTTCAGCGGGAAGGTGAATTTCTACTCAAGTTTTTCAAGTTGGGCGGAATGTACGTGAATGGTGCTGAGTGAAATTCTTTTGCCGTTATGTGGCAAACCTACTGTGTGTTATTTTGTAATGCCAGGTTTCTCGGATAAATGGCAGAGCGAGGTACAATCTACCTACACGAAGGAGGTGCATCACCGTTTCAGGCGTAGCCCAGACCACTGGCATGGTAGAACGACGGATCATTTGGGTACAGTATAATTTATTTTGTCGATGTGCCATTCTGCTGCAGATGTAGTTCTCTCGTTCCGGGCATCACATCACATCAAGACCTGATTGAGTGAAATTGATAGGGTGAGAATTAGATTCTTGTTGTAGCCCTTCCTTTTGCTACCACAGCTCCCCTGGAGGCAATTAATCCACAGATGAGCTTTGTCAAGAGAGTCAGTGTCGTTACCACCCAACCACAGCCCCTCCCTACAACCTCTTCCACTGATCAAACCCTTTTTAAACCTTCCTCTGCAGTTCATGTTCAGGCCCTATCTAAACACTCGGGGTAGCACGGTGGCTCAGTGGTTAGCTCTACTGCCTCACAGCACCAGGGATTCGGATTCGATTCCACCTTTGGGCAACTGTCCGTGTGGAGTTTGCACATTCTCATGGTGTCTGTGTGGGTTTCCTCCGGGTGCTCCGGTTTCCTCCCACAGTCCAAAGATGGGCAGGTTCTGTGAATTGGCCAGGCTAAGTTGCTCCATAGCGTGCAGGGATGTGCAAGTTAGGTAGGTTAGCCATGGGAAATGCGAGGTACGGAGATAGGGTTGGGATCTGGGTGGGATGCTCTTTGGAAAGTCAGTGCTAATTTGATGGGTTGAATGGCCTTTTTCTGCACTATAGGATTCTGTGAGTCTGCTGTGTGCTGTCTCCGGCCCTCTTTAAACAGACACCAGGCCCTATTTACAATTTAATGTCCGCTGATCAATTTTGCTGGTTGATTGGAGATGTGTTGAGTGAAGCCCTAGGCAGTTTTCCTCCCAGAAATGGTTCAAGTGTGGCCTTCAGGCTATGGTTGATCCACCTCTTATTCGCTAGGAAATAGAGTAATGGGATTGTGTATACTGGGAAACTCCTGGCTCTTCAATATTTTGCCCAGCTTGATTCCATGAGATGACCAAACCTGTTTTTTTTTGCCTGAGACTTTTTTGTTTCCATTCTAGCACAGGGAAGAGGGTTTTGCAAGGGTGTGGATGAGGTAGTGGTCCTGGGAATCTTCCATCCAAGACTTGTCACTGAGTCAAGGAGATCGTTGGTAGAGATCTCTCCCCTGCCCCACACCACCCTGCAAACCGCACGCACCCCTTAAAAATAATGTAGGTGAAGGAATATGATTCATTTTGCATTTTGACTCTAGCAAGGCTGTCTATTGTTTTTGTAGCTCACTGGGTTGAGATGAATATTATCCATCAGAGATTGAAGAAAGCGCTAGGAGAGCTCGAGAAACATTCGGAGAATTAGGACCACCAAGGACATAAAACAATCGAACACAATCACACCTCGTTTGTCTGTTTTGTGCAATGTGAAAATAATTGCGTGTTTTTTTTTTGCCTCATTTCACCCTAATTGAAAATAATTTTGTCTTAACTGAGCAGAGGAGATCTATTAGAGTGACCTTGATTCCCATTACTCCATTCCCGTATCCACTGGACCACCAGGAGACAAATTAATCATTCTTTGGTGTCTGTGAATTCCCTGTTGTCATCCCAACCCCTAAGACCTGAAGTTCTTTTCATCTACTTTGGAAAGACAGAAATCTAACTGGATCTGTCCCAAGATTTTCTGGATCCAGAACTGAATGAGCCATCAGTGTAAAATGAGATATGGGAACTCAATATTGAATAAAAGGCTATTTTACCAATTTCCTTTTGTTTTTATTAGTCAGTTCAACCAGGTATGAGTGACATTTAAAAACATGAACAAAAGGATTAGGATTGTCCTTTGTGTCTGATCTGTCTTTTTATTAAGATTATGCCCAATTTGTGTACTCAATTTTGCCAACCAATCAGCAGTTTTTTTCCATGAGATATAAATTTTTATTCTTGTGATTCTGTCCTTATGAGTAAGAGGTGGTGGTCAGGTAGTGGCACTGTCCCAACTAGTAATCCAAGACCCAAGACTAATGTTCTGAGGGTGTTGGTTAAAGTCCCACTATAGCAGATGATGATATTTGAATTCAATAAAAAGCTAGCCTAAAGGCAACCACTGTTAATTGTCGCAAAACCGTTCTTAATGTCCTTAAGACAGGGAAATTTGCCAACCTTTATCTGGTCTGGCCTATAGATGACATCAGACTCTCAACAATGTGGTTGATGCTTAACTGTCCTCTGAGCAATTAGTGATGGGCAATAAATACTGGCTTTGCCAGTGATGCCTATGTACTATGACCAAATAAAAAAATTCAAGGCAGCTGTTTTTAACATGGATGCGGGTACAGTTACAACATTTAAAAGACATTTGGATAAGTACATAAGAAATGTTTGGAGGGTTATGGGCTAAGTGCAGACAGGTGGGACTAGTTTAGTTTGGGATTGTGGTCCGCATGGACTGGTTGGACCAAAGGGTCTATTTCTGTGCTGTGTGACTCTAATACTGGAAAAATAAATCCTCTTCTAATCCTCATTGATAATTAACTGCTATTTAGAGAGGGTCACCCCTTTTTCAACCAGAAGAAACATCCTCTTGTATTCACCCCATCAAGGTCATAAAGAATTTTGTTTCAATGAAATCATCTCACTTCGAAATTCAAGGGAATATAAACCTAGCCTACTCTGTAACTTCTCATAGGACAATTCTTTCATCCCAGGAATCAGTCTTTCTTTCACAGAGTTACTGTAGTTTTATTTTGGTGATGAATGTACTGGTGTATGTAGTTATAGCTTGGGGCATGTTTGTAAACTGCCACCCTACATCTGCAGTCTCTCAGACTTAACATTGTACAACCAATCATTATGATCTGGAATGCAATTTTATTCTATCTCATTTTTTTCTTCCTTGGTATTTGATGACAAGAGCCAAGGGAATATTGCCAAAGAGCATCTTGCATCCAAAATTGAAAACAAGAAGGATCTGTGCTGAACTCGATGTTCTTTTCTGTATTGATTGTGAGGTGCCTAGCCTCAATCTGACAATTACAAATTACTTTAAATTCACGTAATCTTTAAAAACTGCTGAGTGAAAAGAAAAGTACTCATCTCACTTCAGGGGGAGCTGGTGGCAGAATGGTTATACTATTGGGCTATCAGTCCAGAACCCGATGTTCTGGAAATATGGGTTCAAATCCCACCACGGCAAATGGTGAAATTTGAAGTCAGTAAAATCCAGAATAAAGAGCTGATTTAATGGCAACCATGTCACAGTTATTGATTGTCTCAAACTGGTTCTGGATAACCTGGTTGGTTAATGTTCTTTGGTGAAGGAAATCTGTTATTGTTAACAGGTCAGGCCTACATGTGACTCCAGACCTGCAGCAATACGGTTGACTCTTATTGCCTCAGTTAGGGATGGGCAATAAACACTGGTCTAGCTAGCTACACCTGCATAACAAATTCACTCATTAATGAATTAAATCCCACAACAGTAGGATGCAGATTTGGAGTACATTACATAGTGGAGGAAGATGGTAGAGTGCAACAAGTGACCCTCTAACCTGAAGTGTGATGTGTTAGAACAATGATGAAAGTGGACCTTGGGCAGGATCCTAATTGGGTGTGGCCTAGTGGAAAAACTTGGATCAAGTAGAGTTTGAGCTCTTAAACAATGCCTGTCTTCACCATAAAATCATGGGTTAATTAGTCCAGGTTTGAATGAAGGGCATGGATAAAAGCAAGGTGTTCAAAACTACTGTGGATCCCTATTTTATGAATTTAAAGATTTGGAATGAGGGAATCATTGTATAGTGTTTGCCCTGCAAGCAGCTAAATTACTGTTCACAATCGATGCATTGCTGTGAAATATGGCAGCTAACTTTCCAATGTAAACAGCTTAGCGAGCATAAACATCGCAACATGTTGAATATAAGAAAAGGAAGCGTTTCAGTTAATCTGAATGTGTATGATGGTGATCATGATTAAATTTAAATGGTTCTGATACATCCAAATGCAGTAATGTTAAATGCAACATTTAATCACTTATAAATTTAGATGTATAAGGCTTTGGTGAGACCATGCTTGGAATAAGGGAGGGCAATGCTCTCTGTTGCCCTCAGAATACTTGTCATGGATGGTGAAGGCATTCAAGGCTATGGGCCAAGTGCCGGAAAGTGGGATTTAGAAGAATTATATTGTTAATTTTGACCAGCTCAGACTCAAAGGGCCCTTTTCTCTGCTACTGACCTCAATGACTAAGGAATAGCTAAGGAATGCATCGAAGCCTCAGTAAATTGAATCCTGGGTTGAGATGATTGTCTGATCAGAAGACTTATAGCAGAATGGGCCGATATTGTCTGGAGTTCAGAAGAATAATTGTTTGTGCAAAATGCTATAATTACTCTCATTTATTCTTTACCAGTTTCTCACTTCTCAGTTACTCATTGAAAAAGTGATGGTGTGGGCAGTTCAGTGTCCCTGTTAAATTTCCTTTGATTCACTATTTTTATTCTTTGTTGTTAGTTTTGGTTAAAGAACAAATGTTAAAATGAACATCAAGATCCTTATTCATCGAATTGTGTCTGGGGATTTTTACTTCCGTGTGAGAGGGCAGATGGAACCTTTAATTTAATGACGCATCTCAAACGTGCCATCTCCAACAATGCAGCGATCCTGGGAAGGGTCAGCCTTGGATTTTTGTGCTCCATTCTCCAGAGTGGGATGTGAATCCGTGATCTTCTGACACCGAGGCAAAAAGTGTTACCAACTGAGCCACCTCTGACACTAAGTGAGTGGCACTGCAGGGAGAATCTTTATCGAGCAGTTATGTGGCAATTGTTTGGGATAGGGAGAGAAATTGGACAATTGTTCGGGTCATTTTCCTTATTCTGCTGTTTAAAGGTGTCTGACTACCGAGCTCCTTGCCTGCGAAAGGCTGTCAAGGAACCTCCAGTAGTGTATCAAAGAGCAGCTGAAATTAACCAGGAGCTGGCCTAGGGTTATCTCAGCAGTTTAAGTGGGCAAAATCACTGTTACCACAGCCTAAGCCACCCAAATCACTGAAGAGAGTCATAACCGAACTGAAGAAAATTGCCCAAAAGCCAGAAATGATGCTGCAAAGCCTGCGAATGCAGTGCCAATGGAATCTTGGAGACAAACTGCAACAGCAATAAGGCTTTGGTCAAATGTTAAAAGGTATGAAGTATTTTGGCAATTTTACAAGCAACCTTTGCCTCCATTATAAACCAGACACATGGGTCCATTTGCTCTGAAACGATTATCAGTTCACAAATGCAGCCTGTCCCGAAGGGCTTCACATTCAATTAAGTATCTTTTTGAAGTGCAAATTTGAGACAGGAAATTAAGGGAAGATGGTAGTGTGGTGGTAATGTCACTGGACTAATAATCCAGAGTAGGCTAATACTCTGGGGATGCACATCCTACCATGCAGCTGGTGGAATGTAAATTCAATTAATAAATTGGGAATGGAAAGCTAGTCTCAATGGTAACTATGATCATTGATTGTTGGAAAAATCCATCTTGTCCTTGCCTCGTCTGGCCTACATGTGACTTCAGACCCATGCCAATGCATTGACTCTTAACTGCCCTCTAAAATGACCAAGCAAGCCACTGCATTCAAGCGTAATTAGGCATGGGCAACAAATACCAGCCTTGCCAGTGATGCTCATATCCCATGGAAGACTAACACAGCTAGGCTTGACAAGAAAGACTGTTAACCAACATCCCAAAAACAGTGATTAGGGCACTGGGGAAAATATGCCTTTATGTCTTTGAACAGGCTGTTTTTCCTGGACTGTTGGATGCTGAGGGGTGACCTTATGGAGGTTTATGAAATCATTGATTGGGTGAGTAGCCAAGGTCTTTTTTCTAGGATAGGGGAGTGCAGAACAGAACTAGAGGGCACAGGTTTAAGGTTAGAGGGGAAAGATTTACAAGGGACCTACGGGGCTACTTCCTCACGCAGCAGGTGGTGTGTGTATGGAATGAGCTGCCAGAGGAAGTGGTGGAGGTGGGTACAATTACAACATTTAAAAGACATTTGGATGGGTATATGAATAGGAAGGGTTTAGTAGGCTATGGGCCAAATGCTGGCAAATGGGACTAGATTAATTTAGGATAACTGGTTGGCATGGATGAGTTGAACCGAAAGATCTGTTTCCGTGCTGTATAACTCTATTGTTGTGGGATCTTTTAAGCCCAATAGAAGGAATAGAATGGGTCTCCACAGCTAAAGCTTTCAGTGAATTAAAAAAAAATTATGAAGTGAAAGTGAGATGCTGTCACAGGAACTGAATCGACATTGAGTTCACTTGTCAATATTCACCTTTTGAATCACGTGGCAATTATTTCGCATTGCAATCACACTTTCTTTCATTTTCAATCCTGCTAGAGTACTTCCACGAAACGGGCAAGAGCATCAATAACAAGAGGACACCAATTTCGGATACTGTAATTAGCAAAGATGAAATAATGAGGAAGATTTAAGAGAGTCTCTTTAATTTGCTGGATGAGTTGGACCGAAGAGTCTGTTTTCATGCTATATGACTCCATCTGGAACACACTTCCTGTAAAATGGATGGAAATTAGACTCAAGAAAAGGAGTTTGCTAAATATTTGAAAAGAACAAAATTGAAGGCCACAGTGAGTGGCATGGGGTAGATTGTGCCTGTTCCAGTTCATTGCAAGAGGAATTGGCTGAATGACTTATTGTTCTTGATGGTTCTGAGTCGATTCTTTGTTTGTTCATGCCTTATCCATTACTTACTAACTGACTATTCTTCTTAGCTGGTTGGCCAAGATAGGGAAATAAACATCTCTGGGAGTTCACTAGCTTTGGACATTTCAGCTTGTATATTGTGACACTGGAGCAACTACTTAAAATTATAGTAACAATTCTGCTTGGATATTAGGGTAATTTAGTATTAGTAACATTAAGGTGCAAATGTAAATCTTTATCCTCCTTTACAAGGAGATGGAACAATTTTGACTTTTATCTAACCTGCATTGCACTCTTTTGTATCGTAACAAGTCGAGTAAAAATATCTTAATTAACTACAGAAAAAGTATAACGAGGGAAGCTAGATTAAAAACCTTTGGAAAAAAGCATATTCTTGCATTCTTGATGTAACATGGCTGTGATTCTAGCATAAAGGAGGCTCTTTGACCCATCCTATTTGCATTGGTTCTTCAAATGAGCATCATCACTCAGCACCAGTCTCCTACTGTTTTCAAATGTCTTTGTACGTTATTTCAAGCCAAACACTTGGTCAATGCTTTCTTGGATGTTTCAATTAAACCTGCCTCCACCACACTTCCAGGAGAAAGGATGTCTGAGGGTTCAAGGACAAAAGCCATTTGGCTACAGCTAAGGTACAAAATTCTCAGAGTGCAAATATCTTTTTTTTTGCTCGTCTTGCAATCACTTTAAATCTATGCCATCTTGTCCTTGATCCTGTTATGAGCAGAAACACTTTCTTCCTGTATGTTCTATCTGGCTTACTAATCATTTTTGAAACCGCTGTGATTTCTCTTAGCTGCTTTCTCTTCAAACTTCTTAATTTGTTCCCATGACTGAAATTCCTTATCTCTGGAATCATTATTATAAATCATTTTTGCATTCTCTCCAATGTTGTCACATCCTCCTTTTAATAGGGCATGTAAAACTGTACACGACACTCCAGCTGAAGTCTAGCAAATTTCCTATAAAAGGTTCAACATCTTGCTCTTGTACTCAATGCCCCTGTTAATAAGGCTTAGGATACTGTATGCTTTATATACTGCTCTCTCCACCTATCCTGCTATCTTCAATCTGTGCACATATAAGAACATAAGAACTAGGAGCAGGAGTAGGCCATCCAGCCCCTCAAGCCTGCCCCACCATTTAATAAGATCATGGCTGACCTTTTTGAGGTTCAGCTCCACTTACCTGCTCACTCACCATAACCCTTAATTCCTTGACTGTTCAAAAATTTATCTAGCCTTGCCTTAAAAACATTCAGCGAGGTAGCTTCAACCGCTTCACTGGGCAGGGAATTCCACAGATTCACAACATTTTGGGTGAAGAAGTTCCTTCTGACCTCAGTCCTACATCTGCTTCCCTTTATTTTGAGGCGATGCCCCCTAGTCCTAGTTTCACCTGCTAGCGGAAACAACCTCCCTGCCTCCACCTTATCTATTCCCTTCATAATCTTATATGTTTCTATAAGATCTCCCCTCATTCTTCTGAATTCCAATGAGTATAATCCCAGTCTCCTCAGTCTCTCCTCATAATCCAACCCTCTCACCTCTGGAATCAACCGAGTGAATTTCCTCTGCACCCCCCTCCAGTGCTAGTATATCTCTTCTCAAGTAAGGAGACCAAAACTGCACACAGTACTCCAGGTGTGGCCTCACCAGGACACTATACAGCTGCAGCATAGCCTCCCTGTTTTTAAACTCCATCCCTCTAGCAATGGCAGACAAAATTCCATCTGCCTTTTTAATTACCTGCTGCACCTGCAATCCTACTTTTAGCGATTCATGCACAAGGACACCCAAGTCCCTCTGCACAGCAGTGTGCTGCAATTTTTTACCATTTAAAACATAGTCCATTTTGCTGTTATTCCTAGCAAAATGGATGACCTCACACTTATCAACATTGTACTCCATCTGCCAGACCTTTGCCCACTCACTTAGACTATCTATATCCCTCTGCAGACTTTGTGTCTTTTGCACACTTTGCTCTACCACTCACCTTAGTGTCATCTGCAAATTTTGACACACCATGCTTAGTCCCCAACTTCAAATCATCTACGTAACTTGTAAACAATTGCGGTCCCAACACTGATCCCTGAGGCACACCACTAGCCACTGACCGCCAACCAGAAAAACACCCATATACCCCTACTCTTTGCTTTCTACTGGTCAACCAATCCTCTATCCATGCCAATACATTACCTGTAATACCGTGCAACTTTATCTTATGTAGCAGCCTTTGGTGTGGCACCTTGTCAAATGCCTGCTGGAAATCCAGATACACCACATCCACAGGTTCCCCATTGTCCACCATGCAAGTAATGTCCTCAAAGAATTCCACCAAATTAGTTAAACATGACCTACCCTTCATGAACCCATGCTGGGTGTTCCCAATGGGACAATTTATATCCAGATGTCTTGCTATTTCTTCCTTAATGATAGATTCAAGCATTTTCCCCACTACCGAAGTTAAGCTAACTGGCCTATAGTTACCTGCTTTTTGTCTACTTCCTTTTTTAAACAGTGGCGTCACATTGGCTGTTTTCCAATCTGCGGGAACCACCCCAGAGTCCAGTGAATTTTGGTAAATAATTACTAGTGCATTTGCTATTTCCCCCATCACCTCTTTTAGTACCCTGGGATGCATTTCATCAGGGCCAGGAGACTTGTCTACCTTTAGCCCCATTAGCTTGCCCAGCACTGCCTCCTTAGTGATAATGATAGTTTCTAGGTCCTCACCTGCTATAACCTTCTTGCCATTAGTTTTCAGCATGTTATTTGTGTCTTCCACTGTGAAGACTGACACGAAATAGCTGTTTAATGTCTCGGCTATTTCCTCATTCCCAGTTATTAAATTGGCCTTCTCATCCTCTAAAGGACCAATGTTTACCTTCGCCACTCTTTTACGATTTACATATTTATAGAAACTTTTGCTGCCTGTTTTTATATTCTGAGCTA